TGATTTAAGTTTTTATCGTTTCAGGGGACTGGCATCTTTAAGGATAATGTTGTTCTGGGATAATTCAGCTAGTTTGAAACAATCTAACTTGAATACTTAATCAAGATGAGTCTCCACATGGGCTGAATCACCCTGCAAATAATGTTACAGGCACGGCCAGAGGTGTTTTGTATTTGCCAAAGAATAAAATAAAACCAGTTGTGGTTCAAGGTGTGGGGAACAGAAGTCAGGTTATGTGGCAATGTTGTTTGCAGAATTGCTTGATAGATCAAGTGCTATACATTAGGAGAAGTCTTGGGTCTGTCTCCTGGTTGCTGTGGTTCTAGAAAAAGAATTTACTTTTTCAGTTGCATCCAGTGATGTTTAAAATTATGGATTTTGAGGGTAATAGTGTTTTGGTAGATGCTTCTGGTTTTGTTATTATCTCTAGTGCTGCTTGACCTTATTGAAAGACTGAATATATAATAATAAAGACTTCCTGTGGGTTGGCTAAGGAAAAGTTCAGTTCTTGTCTCTATGAATGGGCAAGGTAGCAATATGCTCTAAGCTGCCTCAGCCCTTGCAGTCAATCAGTTCATCCCCTTTGTGAATCTGCCTGTGAGTTCTGAAATGGTTTCCATATCCTGGGATGCATTGCGGGTCTTACCCAAGCTTTGTTGTGTTTGTTTCTTGTAGAAGGAGGATTGCCTTTGGACTGTGAGCCACCTGGACAAAGTGATGCTGTTGTACCTAGAGAGTCAGGCCTGGATGGATGGGATTTAAGGTAAAATTTTGCTGAAAAATACATGCAGATCTGAAACAAGAACTATGGGTTGGTGGTTTTGGTTTTTTTTTTGTTGGTTCTGGAGGTGTTTTTATCAAACATTTAAAGAAGAGTCTGTGTGTGCCTTCTAGTGCATATCACTTTAATAAAATGAAGTGTTATAATAGTTAAGATTTGAGAGTAGCCCATAGGACCTTCAGAAAGGCTGATTGGTATTTAAATACTTAGACGATGCTAATGCTGCCTTGGGAAGAAATGTTACTCAATAAGAAAGTAACAATAAGAGTTCCGGAAACTTCTCAGAATTCACTGAGAGGAAGCAGGCAGCCTTTCTATTATTCCTTCTTCCAAATATTGTATAAGAGAGTAGCTTCAACCATTCTAGACCATGTGCAGTACCTTAAAATGTAATATTTATTTACAGGTCTGTACTTTCTTTGATGCTGCACAGTCTTTGTGTTGCAGACTTCGATTAAATACTTGCAGTTTAGATTTGATTCAGGATTTTTTTCAGCTCTTAGCTATGGAAAAGCATTTCTCTATGTGAACATAAACCAAGAACAAAAGGGACCTTTTTGTGTGTGGAAGTGCATAGCAGGTTCTGTTGGTCTCACAAAGGCAGAGCTTGCGAAATTTCTGTGAAGTGTGGGATTAATCGGTGGAGAATTGTGTAATTTTTGTTACTGGAGAGACGGGATTTCTTGGACGTGATCAGGAATGTCTCAGTGGTTTTGAATCAGCAAAATTAGTATGTAGATGATCTATTTTAACCTTCTTAAAAGAGAATTGATGTCTAATTCTGGTCATACTGTGCCAGGCAAGAGCTGTCAGTCTATTAGTTTTCTTGCCATGTGTAGCCTAAGTTTTCTCTCAGAGGTATGAAAGGCACCATTGCAGCTGTTGCTCCAGAATTATGTGAAGTGCTGTTTTCCTTGCAACTTGTCATAGCTTCTGAAATCTGGGAGAACACCGTGTAAAGAGTGGAAGTTTGAATGAAATCACCTTCTACTGGTTTTAACATCTTACTTGAAAAGAAGGAAAGTGAGAGACTGGGAACAGTGCTTACTCTTACATATGCTAGAAAGCCTGAGGAGTTGTAAGGCCTTGTAGTAGAAAAGCAAAACTTAACCTTGATTTCTGAAGATTTGAGCTTGGAAAACATGAACTGAATCTTGACAATTCAGGATTAAAAACATGAATAAAGTCTCCTCAAAAATATTAGAGCAAGCACATCACATCACAGTTATTAGCTTCATACTTTCTATAATGAATAATTTAATGAAGGTGAGCAGAAGTAGTGTGATCTTGTAAGACTAATGCAGGTACTGAAAATTATGTGAACAGTAGTGGGAATTTAGTTCTTTAAGGGTAATATGGATTTAGCTTCTTTCAACAAAGACTCAGGTCAAGCCTTCAGAGAATTTCTTGCTGAAATTCTTGTTTCTTAGTATATACCATCATAAAATGGTTGTAAGCTTCAGAAGATGATGCTATTAGACCATGTGAATGAGTGTTCTGCTGTATTTTTAAAAAATCAGCAACAAAAAAGAGGCTTATTTTAGTAGAGAATTTACAGAACTAGAGTTTGTTACCAATATGCAATTTACACAACTGATATGACATAGCTGGACCTTGTCAGATAACTAAGCCATGGGCTATTTGGATATAGTCTTCAGATGAATGTGTTCATGTTTTTCTACAGCATCTTGGAATACTGTGCAGTATTTACTGCAGCTGTTACTGCCTTGTGATATATATTCATTAAGCAATTACATGGACTTCAGATTATCAGACTGAAAAATGATGGGAAAAAATTGGTGATTTCTGGAGGTCATGACCAGCTTTTTACTTCATTGCTGGAGTTGCATCTAAGACTGGCCAGTTGAGTTTAGAGGCTGAGAAATGTGCACAATCAGATGAGTCACTTATACCCTCTTTTCATAGCATTACAATAGAAATAGTTTCTGGACTGTTTTAGGGATTTGTTTTTATTAATTTATAGTATGCTAACTTTGCTAGCAGCATCCCATTTATCATGTGCTGCCTGTATTGCATAGCTCCCACAAAGTCAACAAAGCCAAGGCTTCATGTGCAAATTCATGTTCTGTCTTGCTGGACACTTTAGCAGCCTTGCTTATATGTGAAGAAACATACAGTGTTCCTTCTAATACTGGTGTATTTTTAATTGCATAAATTTCAGCCAATGTAGGCTAATGTAGCTTGTAAAACAGTGAACAGGTTAATTTCTGCCATCTAGAATAGAATTGGAACACTGGGGATGCCCAGCTTTTGCAAATCCTATGTCTGTGCAGCAGTCCTTTTCAGGTTAATGTTCTTCTTGCTGGCCTAATTGAAAACTTCTCTGAAGATAAAGGCAAATAGTTGTATTTCCTGTTTATTTTCTAGGATCTCAGCAAGATTTTTCCTCTCTACTGTGGTTTCAATTCTGTTTTTCCAAATACTTTGTAAGCTGAATTATTAATGCTTTTACCATTTCAAAAAATAGTGGTGCATGCAGTACCTCACAATCCATTGCTGACCCAGCAGTTGGGGTTTGTTTTTTGTTGTTGTTCTGAGAACAGTTTGCTTGAACTTCTGCATTTTGCTGTTCCAGGACGATGGTACTGGACTTATTGCAAAAGCCAAGCTTACAGGAAATGTCAAAAGTGGTTTGTTCTTGCACAGCATATGATAATACTTTCCTTAAAATGTATTTGTTTGGCATAGGACATGTTTTGCCTGGTATTCTCTGACAGTGTTACTCACTCTCAGTTTACCTGAGGATGGGAGTGTTAATGTTGGATTGGCCTGGTGTCTTGGCAGAGAGCTGAAGTCTTCAGTTGCATTTAAAGCTCTTCCCTCTAACCAGCTTTTCCCCTTCTACCTTGTTGGTAAGGACGAGTGTTATACTTTTTTCTCCATACAGTTCCTCCCAGTCTTTGGGATTGCATTACTTGAAGGCAAAATTCAAAACTGATTTTTGTCGTCATGAATTTTATTTAGACCATTGGAAATTTTTAATGAAGGTGTCAGGTGAAAAAGCGTGGAATAGGAAGAGTGCAAAAGCATCTCCCTACTGCCGCATTTTTCTTCAGACTATTAATTTTTGGTGAGAAAGAAACTATATTTTATGTCAATCCCAAAAGTTAACATGTATCTCTGCACATGGCCTGTGCTGTTGCCAAATGTCCTTAGCTATTTATTATGGTCAAAACTTTGTCCTGACTATTTGAGAATTGTAAACTTTGGATGAAGCCTCGAATCCATTCAGTTCTGACACTGCCCTTCTTTCTGCAGGCTTTTGAGGAGCAGCCTGTCCACCTGGGTCATTTGTCCCTAATTTCCATTCACTGTAAGATTTCATTTTTGTTTCTGGGATCTGGATTGCTCATGCCTCTTCCCAAAGCTTTTATTGCAGTGCCCTACAGAAAACATCAGAAATTTTCAACCTTAGGAATGTGTTTCTCCCCAGACTGTTGTGACTGAAGTGTGTTGCTGTGAAGCCATACTGCAAAGTGAGAGAGGGTCAAGAAATCTGAGAAGCGATGAGACAATTGTGCTGCTTTTGCTAATTTCTTTGAATTGTGTATTCTGACTTCATAAATAGTGTCTACAAACCCTGGTGTTTGTGACTTGCAACTGATACCTTTTCTAAAAACGGAAGGAGGCAGGAGAGAGAGTACTCTGTTTATTTCAACAACCACAAGCAACACTTCCAAAATACACTTGTGGTTGTATCGCAGAGTTATGAATCTTAGGTTATCTGGTGGTGAGTAATGTGGTGAGACACTGGCCTAATATGTCCATGCTTTATTTAGAAAAGGTAGTTCTTATCAGAGGCAAGGAACACCGGTGTTTCATTCTCTGTGTCTGCTGGATCCCTAAGCACAGGTATCAACTCTGTTGACACTTTATGGTGCCAAGACCTCCCTTTTGGGGTCTGACTGCAAGTTCTTAAGGATTTTGCAGTATAGAACGAAACAAGTTCCTTTCCCCCATCCAACTGCTCACCCAAATGCACTTTTTAGGCTGTCCTGTGGTTTGATCAAAGTTAACAATGGGTTGTGATATCTCTTGACCAGACTTTTTTTTTTTTTTAACTCTGTTATCTTACTAGAGAGGAGGCTCACAAATAGATGGTAACAGCTTTCCAAATGCTTCAGGCAGAGCCTAGATTGTACCAATTATTGCACCTAAATAATCCTGGAGATTAAGAAAATATTACTTAATTTTCATCACTGTAGAGTCTGGATGTGTGTCTTCAGACAACAGTCTTTTACTGTTCTGCCTACTTAAAAATAAAATGGAAGAGCAAATCCTCCCTGGCAAACTAGGAGATGCTCAATTTTGGGATTATATAGAGTTTGCATTGAAGATAAACTGGGCTGGGGGGCATGGGTTTTGACACAAAACATGTGGCTTTATTCCCATGGACAGACAATGCAGCGGAATTGGGGATTACTGAAGGCTGTGGGACTGTCCTCCCTCACTTGCCATCTTCTCCTCGATTCAGAGCACAGGGAATTGTTGTGGCAATAACATCACTGCAATTTGTGCCTGATAGTGAAAGAATAAATGATTTCTTCTCCCAGAAAGACAGAAGGTGTTTGTGTTGGGTTTGGGCTTTTTTAAAAACGTTGTTGTTTGGTGTTTTTTTTAAGCTAAATAAAAAATCCTCTGTGAGTCATTTTAGGCTCTCACAGAAACTTGAATGTGCTAAATGAGTAGGTTCCCCTAGCTGAGCCAATGGGGATGGCCAGGCACAGGCAACACTTTTATCCCACGAAAGGGAGGAGGGGTGAATGAGCCAGAAGATATAAGCTGAAACAAAGCCATGCTGTCCTTCTGAGTCATTCGCACACACTGGATGGGTAAGGCTTCCTGCTTCCTGGGACACACAAGTGGGGTCATGATTCTAACAATGGATGCTGGTAAGTCGCTTTTTATTAAATTTGTCTGGGTTGTTTGTTTTGTTTTTTTTTTTCTGGGAAGTCACTCCTTCCCTCCACCCCCCTCAGCTGAAAAGAAGCTATCTGTAAACTGGGAAGCTGAATTATTAAATAAGAGAATGCTTAATCCAGATTTTGCACACTGTGTGCACTTCACTGTGTGTTACCCTGGTGTTATTTCTTGGCTGTTACTCATTGAAGCACATATCCCCTCCTTCAAAGCAAGACCTCAGAATCAAAAGTGTATCTGTTAATTTGTACTTCTGTCTTCATTGGGGCAGAACTTGTGGCCTGACAAATGTGTGATATCTCACTCTCTTTGATGATAGAGCAGATAGTGTCTAGAAGATACATTCTAGATGTTGTGCTTGTTGTAAAGGGATAGTGGTTAGCTAATGTATTGTCTGTGGCTTCCTCTACTCGGTGTTTACAGAAATTTTGTACTGGGGAGGAAGAGGAAGAAACTGCTGTATTTCTGTGGTAGGCAGCTCTGTTTTATGTAGTCAAGGAAGCCTATGTTCTATAAAAAAGCACATTCAAGGTTTTTTATTTATTTTTTTTAAATCAAGTACAAACATGAAATCTCCAACATAGTTTCTTGTATGATATGGAGAGTGAATGTAGAGTGGTTTCTATAAAAGAAACAAGCAATCCCTGTCTTGCTTCTAGAGGGGGTGTGTTTCCATGTCATAACTTGCATCCTTCAAATTCCACAGTAATAAAAGACCTTGGATTTTAATGGTTATGGATAGGACATAAAGCACCAGTGGTTGTGGCAGAATGCTCTCGGCTGCTCTTTCTCTATACCAGCTGCAAGCATGCCTTCTGCATTTTTAAGAGCTCTGTTGAACTTTTGTCAGCAGTTGGTTCAGCTACTTTTTTTTTCACCACAATGCAGAAGCATAATGTGACATGTTCTACAGGCTCAGTTCAAAGTGATAAACTAACTCAGGCAGATCTTGCTGGTGTGTTTTATCTACTTGTCACATGCTGAGTTTACTCCATGCTAATGAAAAGCTCACTGTCCCACATGTATCTGCATTGATTCAGTTGAGCATTTGCTAAATCCTAAAGAGAAAACTGTCTGTGCCTTTGTATAGCTCTTTGACTTTACTGAGACTTCCAGAAGGTCACCCAGCTGGGTTCTTCGTGCACAATTTAGAGACAGCAAACCAGTTAATTTCACCTACTCACACTTAATTGAGGTTGTTTTGTTATTGTCTTTGTAGTCTAGTGACTCTTTTTGTGTTCAAGGTATGTTGCATGCTTTGCAAATCAGTTAAAACCCAAGCCCTTTAACTGAGATGATAAAATTTAACACAAGTGTGAAGGCGAATAAGATAGTGTATGGCTGACAATTTTCTATTAAGTGGAAGCTGATGATTTTTATATTTTGGCCTTTCCATTAGAGTAGCTTTTAGAGGCCCTTAAAGCAGTTTACATATCAGAAATTGGCAATCCTCTTCTACCCTTGCTTGAATAAAAAGCGTGGATGCCTAGATGTAGATGTCCTGCCCAGTATTTTAGGAGGATGCCCTGGCAATGTTCAGAATTTATGGGGTTGTGGGAGATAAAGATATAGATTTGGCCCACAAGACACTTCTTCCCCTTTGAAGTACCAAGTACTCCTGTACTGCACTGAAGTAATTGATGTTTTGGGATGTAATGTTTTGGAAAGACTGGTGGGATGTTAATAATACATGTTAGAAAAAATACCTTTTATTTGCATGTACTTACATGCTTGCATTGTACACTGTTTCTTCACACTGTGAGGTGAACCATGAAGATAATACTGCTCACCTATGTTTTGTTGGATCCAAACCTGCTTTTTTTTCTCAGAACAATGTCACTGCACTGGTTTCTCAGTAATTACTATGCTCTTTTAGTCCTAGTGGTAATTTTCAGTTATACCAACTTATATGGTTAGTAAACATATATTTTGGAAGCTTTTAATTCTACGAGAATTCTTAAATTACAGTTCTCAACTTCTTTGTGGGAAAATGGTTCTAACTACCTGAAAAGAAACATTGTAATTCAAAGATTTATAACAGGGTGTTCTAGTACTTGTCAAGTGTATTTAGCTTACAGAAAAAACATGCAAGCAATTCAGTGCCTTGTGCCTTAATCTGGGACATGGACAGTGCTCTATTAAGTTTATCTGCTTAGTTTCACCCGCCTTTTAAAGCTGCGCTTGCTGCTCTTGGAACTGTTTGCTTATTTCAAATTGTGTGTTTGCTTTATAAGTCAGGGCTGATAATTTCTCTTTTATGGGCATCAAATACTTAAGCTGTTTTTTAAGAGAATAAAACTTGTCTTCCTTAAGGTAATTGTAAGAATACTTGTGCACCTGTTTCAAAATTTATTTAATGGGCTTGATTCTGCTGTGTTTGCCTTAGCAGCTTCTAATTTCTGTCAGGAGGTGGACTGAAAATGTTTTGGACGAGGGGAATAAAAGGGAGAGCTGCAAGCCATAGTTGACAGTATAATTGGATTTGAAGCAGCTACAGGCTGGGACTGTTGCAACAGCTGATTTGATCCTTCTGAGTTTCAAGAGCTATTTATGGTAGATTAGCTGTATCAAAGCTCTACTGTTCCAACCATAAAAGGCTGGTCCTATGTGAAGTTGCCACTCTGCATTTGGCTTAGTCCTCAGAGGTTGGAGAGCCTATAGCTTTTTATGTGGATAAATCCAGTGATGGATGGAAATACTAAAGGCAGATCAAGGAATAACACTGTTGAGGACTTCAGATGGCAGCGAACTCTTAAAAGGAGATTTTCACTAATAAATTTTTTGCTCTGATGTTTGGAATCAGCACTTGGATATAGCTCCTGCATATTTACTGCATTTGGTGAACGCATGCTTTTAGGAAAGCGCTGTTCTAAATTTATCTGACTTATCTGAATCATCTTGACTGCACATGTACTTGCCAGCCATGCATGTTGATATTTGGTAACTTTTGTGAAGTCACTTTTCTGTTTTCTAAGTGGGTGAGCATTAGGTTCTTGGGAAAAGAATCTTAGCTGACGCGAGAAACTTCTTTAAAACAAGAATTATGAAGTACTTGGCCAAAGAGAGCTACAGGCGTTATCAGTAACTATTTTGAGAAGACTTTGACCCCTTTTGCTGCATCTGTACCTTCTTTCTGTCCTCTTTGTGCAAAGGCAGACAAGTGGATTTTTTACAGGATTCTGAAGTAAGTAGCACCTCACTCGGGGAGCTTGCACGCAGTTGCTCGAGCCAGTTGTTTGAGAATATTCACAGCATTGTCAGGTTGAAATGCAAGTGGGTTTATTCCAGCCTATGCATGCCAATCCTTCAGCCTTCCTTAAGGCATTTTGTGTTTTTATTGTTGTGGTTTTGCTTAGAAGATGAGTTCATTCTGCTATGAATGGAAAGTCCTGTCGCTGGCTGGTTTGTGTGATGTGTTTCTCTTTTCTTGTTCAGTTTTATTATGTTAACCTTAGCCACAGTGATACAAAAGGCTATAAGAACACTTCTATAATAACAAAACTTTTCAGTGGTAATTTTCTCTTTTGTTTAAAAAGTTCTATAAATACATGTGAGTACTGTTGCACTGGATAACTCTATTTTGAGACTTGGAGCATTCTGAGGAAAACTTGCCCCAACTTTCCATTCTCTTAGCATTAAACATTACCAGGACACTGCTGGTAGAAGAGGTGGAAGTTACTGGCACTGTTTTACCTTCTTCTCCTGCAGCAATATCTTAGCTTGCAATTCCTTCAGCCATTTGTTTTGAAAAAATTTGCAGCACTATCAGTTTGAAATGAGAGTGGGTTTATTCCAGCCTGCTTAAAGTGGGGGAGCATAAGGGACAGGGGGATTGGAAGGTGAGTTCCTTCAGGGATATCCCAGGTGCTTTATTTGAATCACCAGAAACATAAGAATAGTGTCCTTGAAAAAAAAAATCTGCTTCTCCATTTTCCTTTCAGGAACTAGTAATTTAAGGCCACCTTCAATTTTATTTGGATTATAAATCTATATTTCTCTGTCAAATGGATCTAGAATTTTTATTCTGAATTTTATAAACCTTTTTTTTAGCCCTGAGAATACCAGGAGACAGAACATGTCTGGACCATTACTGTTTTAAAACCACTTTATGAGTTTATTGATAGGAAGAGTGTATTAGAATAAACTCCCCCTTATAGTGAATCTTTCTCCCACAGACTTTGTTAGATATATATTTAAATAATCACCTGTATCTGCATATTTTAGGAGATTGAATCCTTCTACCTGCAGAAGCAGTGAGGGTTAGGAAGAAACTGCCTGATAAATATACTCCTTCAGACATCTTCTTAATTTTTGTTTTGTGTAACCGATGTGTGCTTCAGTCTGATACTGACTTTTAAATGTTTTTACATTGCTTCCAATAAAATGAGTATTTTTAATAAGCATCCTTTTTTATGTGATCTGATTTTCTTTTCCTTTGCTAATTATATTTAAAAAGCAAGTTGCTATAAATTGCTCCACTATTTTAATATGCTTGTTCTGTTCCTGTAAACCTGCTAGAAAGTGTCAATTCCTTAAAGTCTTAAAACAGACCAGAGACGTCACATATGGAAGTTGGATACCACAGAGTATGCAGAAGCTCTTAACTTGAATTTCAGACTTAAGTGCACTAAAGGTGGAATGCAGGAAACGTTTTGATTGATGTAAAGTAACAATATCAGCTTCTCTTTGTGCAGCAGAGGTTTAAACTTGTTAGAACAGGTAAATTTTCTTCCCTATCTCAACTTAAAAGTTAGTTCTGCCTTTCCCATGTTCTTTTGTCTTGATTGTATTGCTAAATGACATTTTTGGCCAAAATTTCCATTAGGAAGGAGGATTTCAGATTTCTCTGAGCTTTATTCAGCAGGACTGTAGCTGTGCACTTGACATATCTTTGCTAAATTCTTCGTATTTCATACTTTATATGAGATGAAGGTGGGAAGGACATAAAGCAATTTTAATGTCTTTAACTAGG